TATTTTCTTATGCCATTCAACTTTGAAAACTTAAAATTGGAGGCATGAGGCATTTCTGAGGGTGAGATTAAAGATGATAACAAAAAGACTGACATTTTTTATGTGGGGCAGTAAGACTCTCCTGGGTTCTCTCCTCAATTCCAACAACCAGGTGACGTCTGAGGCTCATCCACTGTGCCCCTCACCCATAGAGGACTGGAGTTTGAATGAGAGAAGTATGTTTTCAGGCTACTAGAAATAGTTGAAAACAAGGACACCATGCTGTAGTGAAAATCAGGGTTCCGTGTAAGTCTGTAAACCAAGTATTGTTAAGCAAAGCTAATCCCACACTATGTTCCCAGAAAGTTGCCAACTCACCTTACACCTCTTCAGATAAAAGATAGATGAATTCCTATACAGAGAATTGGAATCAAAAGAAAGAGATGTGTACTGGCTCCCAGGTACACATTCAGTAACTGCATGGGGAAGTCCTCCTGTACACACAGTATTTTCACTACTTCACTTGTAAGTATGAACAGGTAGCCAAGGATTACCAGACAAGTGAGAACATTTTAACATAAAATTCAAAGGATTAAATAAACAAAATTTATGATAAACTTGAAGAAAACAGAGGCAATGTAAGGCTCAGAAGAAACTTCCCCCAAAAGTCTAAATTTAATTTCCTCAAACAGCTTTAAGAAAAAGTTTCTCCATAGAATGGAAATTTAAAAAGAAAAGTATTTAGAGAATAAGAAAGAGCCCTTGAAAAGTGGAAGTGGGATAGCAGACATAGAATAATTAAGAGACAGTTTGGAAAATGAAGATCAAAGGAACTCTACTAAGAAAGAGAAAAGAAAAGAGAAGAAGAAACAACAGCGTCAGAGGCATAAAGGTGAAACATTGAAGGGAAGAAGCGAAATGGCAGCAAGCCTAGAGATCATCCAGTCCCGAATGGAGAAGGAGCATGGAAAGCAGTTCCAGAAGGGATGTCTGTGAAAGAAAAGCAAATAGAAAAACAAACAATCTTTGCCTATTTCTAAAAACATATTGAAAGAAGAGTTACAGTTCTTCCAAAGAGATTGGAATGAATTATTTATGCATATATATGAATCTAAGCAAATGAAAAGTGAAGTAATTAATAAAGCTAGAGGAAAAAAAATGTACAAGAAAGAAAGCACCCTATTTCATTCAGATACAAATACTCTTACCTGAATAGTGGTTTAACAAAAATTAGTGCTATAACTATACTTGAGGTTGAGCAAAAGAGTGGAATAAGATTGTTAAATATGCATTTTATATAACAGGAAAACAATAGATAAAACCAAAATGGGAAAAAAATCAGAGAACAGTAATATACGCATGCTACCTACAAATATGGAAGCACATGACAGAATTAACGTCAAGAATTGACATGAATGCCCGCGGGGATCAGAAATTTCAGATAGGATAAATTGGGTCAGGAGACTGCTGGTTACCATTGTAAGCCTTATATTATAATTATATTTTAAAAATTATTTGCAAATATTACTTTGTATAAAAAATAAATCTGAAAATTTCTTCGACATTCTTGGCAGTTATTAGTGCTCTAGTAAGGTACACACGTTATTTACGGCATCATGAGAATATTTTATGATGGTGGAGGAGTCAGGTTAAAGCAGACCATCTGAAACTGTGCTTTAACAAAGGCCGTCTGAGGATTTGCTTTACTAACACCTCTTCTTATCTAGATCGGTGCAACTCACAGACCAGCAGCATCAGCACCACCTGGGAACTTGCTTGAGAAACAATTCCCTGGTCCCAACTCACACCTTTCAAATCAGAAACTTCGAAAGGAGAGAGATATGCATAAATCTGGGTGATTCTGAGGCTTACTGAAGTTTGAGAACCACTAATCCAAATGAATAGGAAAGTGACACAATTATCACATGAAGAAAATATGTCAGACTCATTCACAAAGGATGTGCCAGAACCTACTGAAGAATCATTTTCTTATTGAGGGCTGATGACCAATATAAAGATTAGACATGTTTGCATCTTTTTCACCTGCCAGAAAGATAGATCAATAAATCTAAGCCAATCCCAGTCCATTTGTATAGAACTACCTTGGTTCTGAAAGCTTAACCATCCAGTAAATGACACATCAGTATTCTGACCTTGCCTCTCACATGAGCAATTTCCAGTGGCCGGATCCATTTGCTTCTCCCCTGGGTTATATTTTGTGTCCTCTGTGTGATTAAAGTAATACAGATCCATTATCTATGACCTTGTAAAATAAATGTGAAGACTATTGTGCCTTCATCAGGCATATATTTCAGACCCATCATTAGGTCAGCCATTTATTTGTGAGCACGCTTTCTATTTTTCACCTTGTGGACTTTTTTATTCATTGTAACATCGCTACAAATAATTAACTTGAAAAAATAGCAGGGGTGGAAGAGACAGAAGCCATTAAGTAGAAACCATATGTAATACTTAGAGCTGAATCCTAGAGCCTATTGAAAAATAATATACTTGAGAATGAGTCATGAGAAAAGATTTCCAAGGGTAAAACATTACTCACAGACAAGGTGTTTAACGGGAGGAGCAAATTCAAACTGCCTCTGGGGTCAGAGATGTGGCACAAATGGGTGAAAAACTGGGATGTACCACTCTAGGAAGTGATGGATTCTTTAGTTACTTGACCACTGTATTTAACTTTCAAATAATCTTAAAACATCTCTAAGAGGCTGTCCATCTGGAATCCCAAGGTGAGTAAAAAATTGTCCTTTGCCTCTAAATTAGAGCAGTTTTATTTATTATAACTACAGATGCTAATGACATTGCAAAGACACACTTGTGAATCTCTCTGAAGAAAAGATTGTCTGTACTCTAAAACCTATCTTAGATTTTATAAATCAACAGCTAATGGACTTATATTCTCACAGTCAACCATATACCTACCACTATACTTGTTCTTTTGAAGACAACATGATGTAGAAGTACTCTGGATCCAGGACCAGAAGACACACATTAATGTTTCAAACCATATGCAGGAAATCTAATTTCCTCCAGGTCCCTCTGTTGACTCACATATGAAATTAGAGTAATAAAAATAAAACGCACCTTACCCACCTCAAGGTTTTTTTGAGTAGTAAATCAGGTAGAGTATGTGAAAGCACTTGGCCTATCATAGAATGATATTTAAATACCACTTGTTTTCACCATCTCCGTTATTTTTATAGACATTTGAGTTATTTCCATTGCCCTTGAAAAGTGATAACATAGTTTCAGAGACAAAACTTATATACGATAAACAAATAATAATTTATGTGGGCTAAACTCTATTATAGCAGATGTTAACAGAATATAGTGAAGGGTGTGAATTCTTATATTGGATGTGATTAAGTTTCTTATCTGTTGAAGTCACCTGGGAGACATTCTAAGCAAATAGAACACTAGTGAAAAAGTAATATAATGGAAGATATGGATGGAAAAAAGGAGATAACAGTTATCCTTATATAATTTTATCCTTCTAAGAGTCAAGTGATGAAATAGAGTTCAAAAACGTGAAGGTCACGTAATTAATAAAGTCTTTAAGATCTCATAACTAAGAAGTGACAAACTAGAATTTAACAAAGTCTGTCTGCCTTTAAATCTTACAAATTACTAAAAACAAACATGGAAACTTTTTATGATTCTCTTGTTATTCATTTATTCAAACTTTATTATATAACGTCATTTAAAAAATGTTAGGAAACGAAACTAAAGAGATAAGATGAAGCCAAAAACATTCACACACAGGACTTTTCACTCTACGCACTGACTAATAAGAAGTCATTAAAGGCTCTCTAACTGAAGAGTAATATAATAAAATGTTACACAGAAGTTAGTTTTGTTGTTGTTCTAACATCCTTTTCCTTCCTGAGTTTGAACCCAACTACAGAGCAAGAAAAGGGCCTAGAATAAACTACAGAAAAGGTTCTGCACTTCTGCATACTCACTAAACATATTGGTGAGTTAGTCAGAACATAAAATCATTTTTTTTTAGTGAATAGAACTGCCTTGTTCTTTACATTCTGTATAAATTCTCAGATGTGATATTGTTAATATAATTCCAAGATTTAATAAAATAAAATAAGCCTTGAGCTGATATTGATCACTGAAACCTCTAGTCCATTCTCTTCACTTCATCAACATGGCATCTGAAGGGTTAAGAATTCAAACGTATGAAGCAGACGGGAGGGCATACTGAAGAGTTCAGCTCTTCTTTTTAGATCTTAAATTTTCTGGTAGAATCTGGGTTGCTATTTGAATATCTTGATTTTAAAATGTTAAACAAATTCAAATATTTATAAAACTTATTTTGCAGGGTCATGTCTTTGGGACATCAAGGCTGCAGCCACCATTCCTAAGCCAATGGCCAGGCTTATGCCACAACCTTAATCATGACCTCACTCAGCTTGCCTCAGAAATTGGTGGCATTGTCTTCTATCTGGCGTAAATTTGACTGAGATGACCAAGACCCTGATCTTATATTTATCCTCTGTACCTGTATTATTATCTCAACTCCTGAGAGCACAGAATGATTTTTCACGTATCATTTTAATGAAACTCACATAGCATCTCTACAAGGTGGCTGGGTAGATCGTTACAACTAGTTAAAGACAAACGCTGAGGCAAGATTGGTGAGGAGATTAGAACAAGTAAAAAAGTCAAAGGAAGAGTCAGGGCTGGTAAATGGTAACCAAATAGTGCTCTAGTTTTTATTTTGAGCATAAAAGAGAGAAAACAATCAAGGACCTTGATGCTCACCATCCCAGATACCATCATTTCTTCCCGATGCTAAACAGTTACATTGACCATACAACTTGCAGGATGAAATTTTGTCATATTGTCATGGTTACTTTTATTATACATATTTGTGTATGGGATTTATTTGTGAAAAAATAAATAAAAGGATGCTATCATACTCATGTTATTACCATTTTATTTTAAATGACTATATTTATGTAAGACAAGGAACGTACAATTTAAGAGTTCTACTGACATTTCTTGCTTCCTGATTCATTCTTTCTGAAACAATTTTTGATGACATTTTTATTTTTTTGGTCAGTGGGAAGATTTAAACATCGTTTATTTGCATAGGCAAAGGTTGTATGACCCTCATTTTGTGATTTCTTGGAGTATTTGTGGAGAATTTCTGAAGATTCCCTTTTTAGATCAAACACATGTCTGGGTACTGAAAAAGAAAGAAAAAAATATTGTGTTTTAACTCTTTTTTTCTCTATATAGTTGCTTCATAAATTTCATTAACATTATAACCCGAATTAATTATCAGTAAACAGAAGCTTCTGTTAGTGAGAAACCAGAAATCAGTAGCAAACTATTCTCCTGTGAATAAAGGACAACATTATTAACAGTAGTTTTTTTAGTTTAAGAAAATTGACTGAAAGTGCCTGGTACAAGCATCCTGATATTAAATAGGGTTAAGAACTCAGCAGTTGCCATAATCCAGCTGACATACTATATTTCCATTTAAGCATACGCTGTAGGATAGTTGTGTTACTGATCCTCAAAATTACTATAATTCTTACTTTTTTCATCACAACAGAAACATGCTAACTCAGCAGGAAAGCCCTCCATCTCCCTGATTGCTATGCAGTAGCATACCTTGCAGAAATATTCAGGAGACCAGCATCTTACAAAAATGACAAATTTTCTGAGTTTTTTTTCCCCATCTCAAAGTATTCTCTTTGTGATTCCTAAGGGGAAAGATAAAAAACAATAAAGAAAGCTTAATATAGAAGTAGATAGCATTTCTGTGAAAATTTAAAAGCAAAGAAAGATCATGTCAAAAAAACATATTATATTAACCTTCAAGAATCACCTGGCCCCCTGGTGATGGAGAATCCATACACTTGCAGTTTTCTGGGGGTATTAAGCCTGGGTTTCATGACCCCCTGAACTTTTCTTCAGAAGAACATCATATGGTGCCTCTAGAATTCCACCCTATCAATTCTTCAAGGAAAAAACATAGCATCCTCAGTTGTTCTCCAGAATCAATATTATCATAAAATATGACTCTATTTTCTTATTAATCTGAGCTCACTGTGCTATGTCTAAAGGGAAACATGTAACACAGAAAGATGAAATGAGGATTACAGAGAAAAAGCAAAGCTCTTTTGTCATGATAAGTGTGATAGTGACAAAGAAACCAAAACAGAGTGTCAGTTCTTTCTCCAAGTTGTATGTCAGCCAGATGCTTTTATACCTACTAACAAAATAAACAGTATAATAGCACTAGACCCAGAATTGCAACTGAAGATATAGAATTAGTTCTTGATTGAGAAATAATTAGACTGTAGCATGGTTCAGTCATCTATTTCAAACTCCCAAATTATCACTATATAAACATATTCTCAATTCAGCTGTAGTTATCATCATATTCACAATAACTAAAATCATCATTACATCAACCATATACATACAAATGTAGATGAGACCTCAACATTACCTTCAATGAGGTCTTTTCTACTTTTAGTATTGTTGGAATTTTAAATGGCTTTTCGAATGTGGCCTTTCAAGTGATAATTTCAAATTTCTATATGAAAGAAATTGTCCTAAACAGTGAAGAAAATTGGAATATGCCAACTTCATACTTGAAAGGCTCAGACAAATATGTTTTTAGCCTGTCTGTCTTAATAGCTGGGTTGACATTTTAAGCTGATTCAGTCTTCAGGAAAATTTAGTAAAAAGGTAATACAGTCATTGCAAGTCATCAAAAATTTAACAAATATTTCTTTATTGTCAGGAGTATCACAACCTAACAAGCAAATTCATGTAAAATGGATCATTGGTAAGTGATATATATTACTTGGAGACAGAGAGCAGAGGATATTTCTACCACGTTCCCCTTCCACTTTCAATATTTTAATACTGGTATAATTTTATTCAATCCCCCATTCAGCTGGTCAGTCAACAGGTATTTATTGAATGCCCGCTCTGACATTACAAATATAATTGTAAGGCAGAAAAAACTGCAGCCCTCAGGGACCTTATATTCTCGTAGAAGAGATTCATTGAATCAATTTTAATTGAGTATCTACTATGTATCTGGCACTGTTCTAGGTACTTGGGATTATCAGTGACTAATAAAGAGAAAGATTTATGCCCTTCAGGAGCTAACACTCTAGAAATGTGATATTACAAAAAATACATAATAAACAAGTAAACTATAATATTACCTTCAATGAGATCTTCTATAATTTATTAATTTAAGTATCATAGAGGGAAAGAGGGGGACAGACCTGAGTTGAGTTTGGGACACACTGAATTTATGGTGCTTAAAATCTAGAAGAAGGTATGCCTTTTAGGAAATTGGATTTGTGAATCAAATGAGCAATAATACTTTTGCCACTGAAAAATTTCACTCTAAAGAATTACTTATACAGAATATTTTATCTGAATATAGAGACCTATTCTTATGTGGATGGGTAAACATCTTTTTAGGTGGAAGTGTCAATGCTTTTGAATAACTAAATCAGTTTGCTTTTAATAGTATTGGTTATGAAGCATGAAGATAATTTGTGTACAGAGTTTGGGGGGTGGAGGGCAATCTCCACTTCTTTAAATACCAAATGATAAAATGTGAAGACTTGACAAGTAGAAGAGAAAGCACTTAAAATCTAAATCTTAAAAGGGTCTTGGACCATGGCTTTCACAGCTAATTATTTCAAATACCAGCAAAGATGTTTTCCAAGCTCTTAATTTAGAGTATCTTGTTCGACAAATTGTGGACATGAAAGACAATAGATCATTGTGTATTCCTGGTATCGACTCCGTACTCTGAAAATAATTTACTTACGGGAAAGCAACTTTGATTATTCTAATTATAGCTTACGATCAAAAAGTTTTTTAAAACTAGAACTAAATATAATACACCCTATTTTATAGAACATAAATATGAGAATGAATAGCATATTATTAAATGTTAAATAAGTTTTATGTGCATTTGTCATGACACAAAACAAATAAAGATCTATGTAATATTTATTATTTCTATGTTAAGGGTGTGAACTGTACGACAATGCAACTTTTTCTACTTACTGAATTTGGTGTCTTGAAAAGTATCAATGAAGGAGATATTTCATATTAATAATAAACATAGATGCCAAAGAGTAAACATACAATAAAGTATTTTACTTTAAATAATCAGGGTTATTCTTTCATGTATATGCTTTAAGGTCATATGACCAAGACATACTTGTATAATCTGAGAGATTATTTCTGATTGAAAAGTGTTCTAATTTGTAAATATGACTTTGGTTAAACTCTTCAACATACATCTTTCTACCATCCTAAATATCTAAAATGGATAGGCAATTTCTTATTTTTTAGAGAGATAAAATAATTAGTGGTTAAGAGCACAAATTTCAGAGCCAGCCCTGATGGCCTAGTGGTTAAAGTTTGGTGAGCTCTGCTTTGGCAGCCTGGGTTCAGTTCCCGGGCATGGAGCCACACCACTTGTCTTAGTAGCCGTGCTATGGTGGTGGCTCACATAGAAGAACTAGGAGGACTTACAACCAGAGTATACAACTATGTACTGGGGCTTTGTGGAGGGGAAAGAAAACAAAAGGAAGATTGGCAACAGATGTCAGCTCAGGGTGAATCTTTCCCAGCAAAACACAAAGAAAGAAAGAAAGAAAGAAAAGAGTACAAATTTCAGTGTCTCACTTTCCTAATCTATAAAATGGGAGTAATAAAACTTATCTCACGTAGTTGTAAGATGAGGACAAGATTTACTTGTAAACATCCATTGTAGTACTAAGTACACAGGAAATGTACATAAATACACAGACGCACATGTTCAACTGATTGAGAATTTAATTATATTTTTAATTGTAATATAACTAACAATCACAAGTTTTTAAGCTAATACTTTGCCAAACAAAATAAAGTATTACAGAATAACTATTTGTGTAAAAGTTACTAAGCTTATGTACCTAGGAAAATAGATCACTTCACTCACAGTCTTGAACAGGCTGGTCTTTCCAATTACTATGAACATTCAGACATTTAAAATTACTGTAATATAACTACTCTAGAAATTAAGTGTAAAAAAATGACCATAATGGATTTCTGGTTTCAACTACACCCTGTAAAGTGTTTGAAAGTCATCACTCTTGTCTTTGCAAGAAGAATAAAGCTGAACAAACTGAAAATTCACAACTTTTCTTGGATCCTTCAGTTGACTATGGTTGCACAAGAAACCATCTCCCAGAAACCTATAGAAACAAGCAAATCCAAAGAGTCATAGTCAAGGTCTTTCTACTTGGAGCAGAAGCTTCAGGAGCCATAAACAGGTTATAATTAAATAATAATTATGGTGAAGTGATGGAAGATAAGTATGTACTATTATGAGAACCAGAAACTCCAGGGGCTGTAGTCTTAGGAAGTCCCCATCCTTTCCTGATCTTTACCTCCATGAACCATAGCAGTCTATCACGGTGAAGACCCAAGAAAGATCCCCTTATGGCTCTGTCAGGGGGAGAGGAAAAGTAACCTTTGTGAAATATGGCTAGAGTGTTCTCCATAACAAATGCTTATTCTCCAGGGGAAAACACTTTACCAGAGCCTAACCCAACTTGGGAAAAGGACATTTCTTGCAGGATTCCAGTCTACTTTAGCTTTCCTGCATCTCCTAAGTTGGAGGGAGCTATGAAACACTTGTAAAGGTCACATTCAAGGGAAAGGCCAACTAAAAGACTGAGATTTAATCATAAGGTTATAAGGAGCTTTCCTTCTCTCACACCTTACCATCACACCAACATGGCTCAAGTATAAAAGTGGATTACAGTTGAAAGACACAGGCTCTTTTTAAAGAGGAGTTTTTAGGGAAGCCCAAAGATGGAAAAGAGACCAAAACAGGGACACTAGAGGAACTCAAAGTTTCTGGCATGTACAGCTACAGCAAACATCAAACACAGCCCAATTCCTAGCCAGACTAACACAAAACTTATTTATCTCAATTCTTATTATCTGATACATCATGCCTGGCTTTCAACAACGACAACAAAAATTACAAGATATGCTGAAGGGCAAGAAAAAACACTATCTGAAGAGACAGAGCAAGCATCAGAACCTATGCAGATATGACACAGATTTTGGAATTATCAGACAATAAATTTAAAATAACTACCATTAGGTATTAAGGATTCTAATGGGAAAAGTAGACATTATGCTAGAAAAGATGAGACATTAAAATAGAGGTGGAAAGTCTGAGAAAGAATCAAAAGGGAAATGCTAGAAATCAAAAAGGCTAATAGAAATGAAGACTGTCTTTGATGGTCTCATCAATAGAATAAACATGGTCAGAATAAGAATCAGTGGGTTTAAAGATGTGGCAAGAGAAATGTCCCAAACTGAAATTCAAAGAGAAAAAATGATGATAAAAGTAAAGGAACATTCAAGAACTTTAGGAGAAGAAATATTTGAATTAATAATCACTGAAAATTTTCCCAAATTAATGACAGACACCAAATCAAAGGTCCAAGAAGGACAGAAAATAATAAGTAGGGAAAATACCAAAGAATCTACACCTAGGCATGTCACATTCAAATTTCAGAAAACCGAAGATAAAGGGAAAGTCTTGAAAGAAGCCAGAGCAAGAGTGAGGGGAAGAGTCTGATCCAATTCCAATGTGTGGGGACAATGGCATAGAGAGAATCAGACGCAGAAATCAGTAGTAAAAGGAGAGAAAAAACTGATAAGACATGATACAAACTTGGAGTATTGGAAAGGGCCAGACTTTACTAAAGGATTCTATTTCCTAGAAGTGTGTGCTATATGTTATACATATGTGTTCATATGTGTATTTGTCCATATATATGTACGGGAGGAGGACATTTCCTCTTCCCAAATGTGGGTTCGTCTGGCCGGAGAACGAATTAAATTCACATGAGACAGAATAGCAAGAGAAAATTAAATAAAGCTTTATGAGGAACCATGGCCTGGGGCCTTTCCTCCCGAAGGAAGAAAGGGCACTGCAGAAGTGGGGTGCACATAGTGGTTATATACCCCCAAACAGGGTGTTTC